TACTAAAAAAACTGAATTTTGTATCTGTATTAGACAATCTGGTAAAAAGTAACACCTTAAAAATTTTATTTAATTTTTTGACGAATGCTTATTTATAACAACAGAGACGTTCATTTTTATAACTTATTATTATATTGATTTCTGATACAAATCCAGATTTATTTAGAATAATTTATTAACTAACACAGTTATGTATGTAATTAATAATTAATATTTGGGCCTAAATAATGGTGGTATATTTAATTAATGGTATACTCTTTTATAAAGATTTAAATAATTTTCTTTTTGTATACAAATGTATACAAAATACTTCAAAAACAATCTAAAATGTCAATCTTCCAAGTGTATATTGATAAATGAGATCTAAATTATAAGAAAATGTATTTTCTACGAAAACTTGAAGGGATAGGTAAAGAATGGTATAAAACAATTCGATAACCAATCAAATTGTGCATCTGATTCTCATAAAATATACAGGGTGTTCCATTTACATTAAACAAGTTATTGCAGTTTAAAGCTAGTAATTGTTTAAAATGTTTTTTTTAGACACTCTGTATGAGGTAGTATTATTCTTATTATTGCAACACAATAACTGATCAATAAATAAACTTCAGTAAATATTTAGCATTAAAAACTTTGATACCTACCCTTGGAGAAATAAAGCCTTAAAATTTTTACTGCAATTTCACAAAATTGAAAATATTTCAAAACGGTAAGGTTTAAGTGTGATAAACCTTAATCAAATTTACCTTTATTTTAATCGTAGAAATTAAAAATATAATAATATACAGGGTGTTCCATTTAAAAAAGTACAACTTTGATATTTTTTATTTATTTGGGACACTCTGTATCTTGTAAAAATATTTTTAAATTGTAGCTCTAAAGGTCCTTCAACAAACCCAAAACTTACAATTTGTAAAAATCTAATCGTTTAGCTACAATACTCCTTGTCGTATGTGGTGAACAACCCTGTATAACTGCTCAGCTTTTCAATGAGTGCTTAGTGTCCAAAAAGTTTTTTAGACAAGAAACAATGCAGCCCCATCTTGTTTTCACCAAAAGGAAAAAGAAAAAGAATAGAACGAGAAAAAAGCAATATTTCCAATGTTACCGATATTGCGGTAATATTACCAAAATTACCAGTAATATACCCTTTACATCACTAGCTATAGAACAAATATATTACAGAAATGTCGCAACTTGACTCTCTTTGTAGATTGTAGATTATATGGGAGGGGGAAAATTAATCATCGCGACCTTCTAGATATCTTCTAGTGTCTCCTTTCTTGAGTTATAACTCATCATACAGTCCCAGGGCTTTGACAAAAGCCAGTGTATGAGACGGTTTTAAAGAGGGTAGCTCTCCATCTCCAGATATCAGTCATACTTGTGGTTATACTAAAGTTTATATCACGAATGGTTGTCATATCGGCACACTCAGTAATGAGGTGTTCTGGTGTTCTGATAATCTACTGAGGTGTTGGTTGAGGAGAGAGTGTCCTGTTAAAAACCCCATGACAATCCGAATATTGTTCTTACTTAAATCAAGGAAAATCTTTGATTTTTCTCGCTCGTAAGTTCTGATAAATTTCTGCGAGTGTCTTAGACCGTTGGAAGATTCCCATTCCAGGTTAAGGATGGAGTCTTCCAAGTTCTTGAGTTCCGCTTTGAGTAAGTTTCCACTTGGGAAGCAGAACGGTTCTGGTCCAGTTAGTAGAGTGCTCGCTCTTTATAGATAGATCGTTTGCTTTTTCTTTGCCTTCTATCTTTTGGTGGGCGGGCACCCAGAGCAGAAGAACTTAATTATCTTTGCCTAATTATTACTTTTTGTTTGTTTGATGGTGGACAAAGCGCATCTCAGAATTGGTCTAGAACAACGTGAGCTGATTTAGAAGAACGTGAACTCTTCGAAATCATCAAGAAGAGGAAAATAGCCTATTTGAGACAAATACTACGTGGAGAACGCTATCACTTTCAGCGTCTGATTCTCCAGGGTAAAATAGAGGGAGGCAAAAGGGGAATAGGCCGAAGGAAGCTATCCTGGCTGAGAAATATTCGTCTTTGGACAGGCATACAGGACTTCCAAGCACTCCAAATCGCTGCAATTAATAGATAACCATCTGATGAGGAAGAAAAAGATGAACACCTACGCAGGAATCTGCACGACACCTTAAGAAGAAGAGGATTAAAAGCAATTAGATACAAGTGACACAAGACAGAAAAGAATAGTTACAACTAAGGAAGGCCTATGTGTTGCAGTGGATCATCATCATCATCATTTTCAGCTTATTCTACCATTTCCAGTTATGGTATAGCTTCCCCCACATATTTAGATACTCTCTTTTTAGTTGGGTCCATTGTTGTCTATCGTTGGCTATACGGGCCCAAGTTATCCCTGCTAATTTCCTAATATCATGGTCCCATGTCAGGTTAGGTCTTCTTCTAGGTATCTAAATTCCTCGTGGGTGCCATGCCGTAATTTGTGGTCCATCTGTTGTCCGTTCGTCTTGCCAGGTGTCCTGCCCATTTCTATTTGAGAGATTTGACTCTGTGGATGACATTTCTATTACCTCTGTCTTTTTTCGTTTCCACTCTATTCTTCTACGGTCTCTCTTGGTTATTCCCAGCATATTTTGTTCCATTAAGCGTTGTGTGACCTGCAGTTTCCTTATGATGTTCGTTTAAGCGTCCGCAGGTTTCGGTTATGACTGCCCAAGCAGCATTTGGACGTCGGGACAACGTTGTGTCACGCGACCAAACGTCGGGGCGCAACGTCGGCACAACCTCGTTCCAACCCTAGTCTGCACTAGTTTGGAGAATAATTTTTGGGTCGAAACGACGTTGGATACCGACGTTGGCTAGAAGCCTAATTTAGTACAAACTGCAACGTTGTTTAAAATCCTAATTCACAGAAATACACAACTAATATGGCGTCTAAGTCGCGTTTTATCCTAAATTGGGATAATTATAATAAAAATATTACTTTTATGATTTAGTTAGAGACATATGTCAGATGGCAGTGAAGGAAAACAAAACAAAAGTATTTAAGTGTGGAGGATGTTTGAAGATCATAATTATTGAAACACTTTAACCGACTCTGTAACTCGTTACCCAAGGCAAAAAAGTTAAACGCAAACAACTTTATTGATAAATGTATTGTTTCTACTTTGAAAAATACTAATGGGCCTTAAAATTAAAGAAGTTTTAAAAATTTTCTTGGAAGTGTTTTTCTAGTAAAATGAGAATAATTTATTCGCAGTCGAAAAAACTGTTTCCGCGTGTTTTTTAGGGTCAAATATTTCAAGTTAATGTATTCAAAAAGCAGGAATTGCTATTTTAGGAACGAAACATTTTCTTATTTAACAACATGGCGGCTTTCACTTTGTTGTTTTGGAGATTAAGATGGAGTAGTTCGAGTAGTCGCATACTGGACTAATAAAGTCGCAGTTCGGCCTTAACAGGTAGTATACTAGTCGCAAGATTGCCTAATTTAGTCATCCTAGAGTCTAGCTTGTGCCGCCCTCTATAATATAAATAAACGAGGCAGTGGATAAACTATCGGTAATATATGTCGATGTATATTTAAATTTAGTTTTATATGTACCTTTCTTATGTCCCATTTTAATTAAGTTTTTTATAAAAACAAAAACAGCACTGAACTGTCTGACCGAACAGAACAATGAAGTGAAAATTTAAAATTTAAGGTTATGGTTCAATACAGTTGCAAAAGTAGTGACTCGACGTCCTACCAACGTAAGAATAAGGAAATCTAAACAACGTTGGAATTAGTAAAACAAACGACGTTTGCATAACGTTGGAATAGGTCCTGAAACTGACGTCGGAAAACTCTATATTGTCCAACGTTGTAACTACGTTGTCCGAATCACCTAAAGATCACTTAAGCAAAAAAGGTTACAAGACAACATTTATTCGACGTCGCAGAAGCTTCTACTTTGCTGTAGTACTAGTCCAACGTCGGCACAACGTTATAAAAACGTTTAAATTTATTTTAATACCCAAGGTAGGGAGCTAACTATTTTTTGTAACTAATCCAACGTTGTGATTAGTAAACATGTGGTCGCAAGTCGTGAAAATGCTACTTGGGTGGTAGTACACATTGGTCAAATGTTTTCTTCTTTAGATAGAGTGGCACTCAAGATTTAAACAGCATGGAGTTTATATTGATTTTTAGTAGTTAGTTATAGAGATCCCGAGCTGATGTGTATTAGTTGTCCCAAATATATATATTCTTCTACTATTTCAAGTGTTGTGTTATTTAATAGGATGTCTTTTCTTTCTACTAGTTCGTTATACATTACTTTTTAGTTTGTGCTAAATCTATTTTGAGACCCACTTTATTGCTGGCTGTATTTAATTCATTAATTTGTGCTTGTAGCTTAGCAGTGGAGATATTAGTGAAGATGTACAGAATATCTACATGTGCCTCTAGCAACAATCTGTTATAAAGTACAAGGCTTGACCAAGACCGTGCTATGCAAAAGAAACCCAGACTGCTTTTACTACACAGCAAGACCACAGGAAAGACTAAGAGGAGGGAAATATTGGTCCTGATCTTGCATTTGCTCATCACTATTAGTCGGATTAAATCTAACGATTTAATTCAAGATTTAGTTTTTCGGTAAAACATTATCTTAAGTCTATATTTTTTTCAATTTTTTAAGTCCATTTTATTTTCAAGTTATGAATTTAAAAAAAGTCGAATGCAAGGATAATTTATAAATTTAATAAAAGATTGATTTTGGACCTTTATTGTGCTTTATTTTGAATAGCTTGTAAACTACAAACGTTATCAAGTACTGTTTTACTTGATGAAGTACTCTTTAATTTTGTCTACATTTTTACACTTGATAATTATTCATATTTATTTAGAACATGGCGAATGCGCTAGGAATTTTCTATTAAAGGTTTCTGCTGTTGGCAGCTCTCTCACACAATACCATCAAAAATAAATTCCCTAAATAATCATATGTTTTCCACCTGTCAGATGTCACATTATAATTAAAGTTTTGACAAATTGTGATCTAATAATCTATTTTTCCATTTAAAATTAGATAAATAAAGCAAAAAAAGGTACTTTATGTGAAGTAATATAAATAACAATGTGCAAACAAATCAGTAGGTTAAAGTTTCCTATTAGTAATTTACAGTGACAGCAATGTTACTAAATTATTCTCGAACATTGATCGCTCTTAAATTTGTTATCGGCGTAGTTTAGTGATAAATGCAAGAAATGTTTCGAAGTAGGAGCTGGTTTGGAGGAGGATGGGGTCGTCCGAAAAATCCACATTCCCTAGAACACTTGAAATACTTATACAATGTTTTATCCAGAAATCAAACAGTGTCAGAACATAATCGAGGTCTTTTAGTGGAAACACTGAGATCCATAGCTGAAATATTAATTTGGGGTGATCAAAATGACTCTTCAGTGTTCGAGTATGTATAATAAAGGAGATATCATTGAATAGTTATTTTAACATTTGTTTTTTAGTTTCTTTTTGGAGAAGAACATGCTTTCGTTCTTCTTACGAATAATGAGACAAAGAAGTGGAGGCTCAAACTATGTGTGTGTACAGTTATTACAAACGTTAAACATTTTGTTTGAGAATATTAGAAATGAGACATCTTTATGTAAGTATTAAATTGTGTGTAGAAATCAACAAAAAATATAATTATGAAAGGTTTTTATCATATCTGGAATGTTTTAAAATCTTTTATTAAAATATGCATAAAATAACAAATTTTATCACACTTTTTTAAGATAAATATAAGAATGTTTTAATATCAAGGTTGGACTCTGGTTCTGTTTTATAAACAATATTTTTTTATTTCAGATTATTTGTTATCAAACAACCATGTAAATTCCATTATTGTACACAAATTTGACTTTTCTGATGAAGAAGTAATGGCATATTATATTTCATTTTTGAAAACCTTAAGCCTCAAATTGAATGCTCATACTATTCACTTCTTTTATAACGAAGTAAGTACACTGTTTCTAATAAAATTTATTATGAATTCTGATATGTGTGAATACTATTTTTTTAGCATACAAATGATTTTCCTTTGTACACTGAAGCAATCAAATTTTTTAACCACCCTGAATCTATGGTACGAATAGCTGTACGTACTTTAACTCTCAATGTATATAAAGTAGAAGACAGTAGTATGTTGGCTTTTATAAGAGACAGAACGGCAGCACCGTATTTTTCGAATATTGTATGGTTTATTGGAAAACACATACAAGAGTTGGATAACTGTGTTAGAAATGATGCTGAGTAAGTACAAACACTGCATCACCCTGTATAAAGCAATAATTCAAAACATTTTACTATTTGTAGTCATCAGTCTCAGAACAGATTATCAGATCTTGTGGCAGAACATTTAGACCACCTTCACTATCTAAATGACATTCTCTGTCTTAATATAACAGACTTAAATCATGTATTAACAGACCATCTGCTACACAAATTACTTATTCCTCTGTATATTTGTTCACTGGCAACGAGTAGAAGGAAGTCTTCGATACCTGAAGGTGTTAATCAGGCTGTGGCAAAAATATTAAGCAAAAGTATGTAATTTAAGCATGTTTGATCATAAAACTCTTTGATCGCATTGTATATTATTTAAGGTTCATCTGGTAGTTCTGATTCGCCTAGACTACAAGACCCGACAGCTGGAAAAGTATCGTGTGTTGTAGCATTGTTTTTGTTATCACAAGTGTTTTTAATATTATCCCATTCGCCGTTGGTGCATACATTGGCGTGGATCATTTTGAAAACAGACAGGAGCATCTTTGAAAAAGGTATGTTTATATTGTTTGTTGTATTTTTTAATGATTTATGCAACCCTAAAAACATTTTGGCGCTTAATTTGAAAATTTTCAAATGTACCAATTAACTGAATTTATTGTTATTTACATGCACATCATTTTTTAAACGGATTTTAATGCAATTTTTATTGGCTTGGGTTTATCAAAACTAGTATAGTCTATCTAATGAGAGATTGTATGATAGTGACTAGTGACAGTAGACAGTTGTTGGCTTTCATTTTAAAAGTAATTTGTAATTTTTGGATATCCAAATCATCCCTTCTCTTGTTGGATAGACTTATATTATAGAATTCATTTACCAATAATGTATTTTTTATAAATTTGTTTTTTTCCACCTGTGCTTTTAATTTTATTGAACTTTCTTAAATACTAATGAATTATTGTTCATCAAATTATGAACAACTTTTCTGTTTCATCATCTCATTGCACATTGCGAGACCGCTTTAGTGAACTCTACATTCCAAATGCCGTAAATAAATTATACCCCTCAGTCTCAGTGGCTGGCTCTTTGGCTGGCCAAAGGAATTTTATGCTCACTACCTACTAATGGTTGAGTCATGCACACAACTGTAATAAATAACTTTTCTCCATGTTAAACTTAACCTCATTTCAATTTTCTCAGTTTATTTGTAATTCTGTATTCTGAGTAATTAATTATTTTTATAATTATTGTAAGACATGATTTATGTTTAATACATATATTTTATTGTTTTCCCAAAGAGGTTAGAAGAGAAAGAGGTAACAAATGCTCTATTTTATAATGCGCGAAGGCTGCCTGTTTTTCCGATCTGGGTTCCTTTGGTGGGGGTCACGCCAGGAGCGGATTTAGAAATTTTTAAGTGAATAATGATATACATCTAATATATTGTTATAAACAGGGTATCCCAGAAATAAGTACAAGTATTTTAAGGGGTGGTAGATCTCGATTAGAGGTGGGAATTTCCTTGGGAGGAACTAGTTCCTTAGTTCTAGTTCCTCCAGAAGAATAGTTCCTTGAACTAGGTTCTTAGTTCACAATAGTTCCCGACTAACATTGACATCCCCGTTGCTTGCTAATGGATTTCGTTTTCAGTCAGAACTATTCACCCCCCAGTTACTATTCAAAATTATACAGATCATTATAATTGTTATAATGTACGAAATATAAGAAGACGTAGTAATTGCATATGTTAAAAACATATAGGTAAGTTTTATAGCAGATAAAAAAATTAAAGAAACTCAAATCAGAGTTTAAAAACTATATCACAAATCGATTGAAGGAAATAATACGAAAAATTTATGAAAAAAATTATTTTTCCCCACTTCAACCTTTTTGTTTTTGTCTAAAAATTCAGAATATCTACTTCATTTTATAAGATATTTCTTAATTTTAGGGACCTAAAGTGAAACATTCCCATAAAATATTTAAAAAACAAAGTAAAAATCAAAAACAGTATCCACGACAATTTTCTGTGGTAATTACGCCGCGCTGGCTGTGGCAATAGACAAGGCCGAATCCATCGTCGTCTTCTTGTATTATATCGCGGATCTGCCGGCTGAATAGATTCCCGTGAACTAGTATTTTAATAGTTCCTCTATGTCCGGATCCGATAACATACGGCTGGCACTCCCCACGCCTGACTAGCATCAATCGCGCTGACTGATCCATACGTAAACTAGTCTTTTATTTAGTTCCTCTAGTTCCTTTAGGTCCGGATCCGATAACATACGGCATACGGCTGGCACTCCCCACTCCTGCCTAGCATCGATCGCGCTGGCCCGATCCGTGCGTACGTAAACTAGTTTTTTATTTAGTTCAGTTCCTGTAGGTCCGGATCCGATAACGTACGGCTGGCACTCCCCACTCCTGCCTACCATCGGGCTACGCGCGCTAGCCGATCCGTCGCATATTATTCTATATCGGCCACAGTCTCGATCCCGGAACAGGCCCTGAGGAACTAGTTCTTTGAGAAACCAGGAACTAGTTCCTTTCATTCCGGAGTCGGAATGGTTCATTGGAACTAGTTCGTTCACGAACTACACACCTCTAATCTCGATAAAAGAAACATATTTTCTCATTATAGTTTTTCAAGTAAGTCCAAAATAACGGAGTTATTTTACTTTGAAAATTTCCAAAAAAAATTATTTTTTGCTAAAATTTTGAGAACCACTGGATCTTTTCTGGATTTTCTTTCTTGTAACTTTAATCTACTACCTATGTTGCCATATTATCAAGAAATTATTTTCTTTAAATAAAAACTAAAAAATTCCAAAAAATTTTCAAAAAAATCCGAATTCTCAAAAAAAATATATTTAGAAAAAACCTCATTGGCGTGTTTCTGGGGTTGAACTATACTACCAGTTATGTTAAAATACTTGCACTTATTTCTGGGACACCCTGTATATGGGTACATCGTAGCGTCGCGCCGCGCCGCCTCGCGCGTATAACCTTGAAAAATTAAAGCGTGTTATCAAATCGGCTAGTTCACAGTGAAAGCAGGCAGATGGCAGGCAGGCACCGTCAACCAGCGTTCATCGGCGTTCTCGCTTTTACCGGAACGAAAATTTATTTATTTCTGCTTTTGCACGCGCCGACGGCACACAGAGGGTATTAAGAACTAAAAGTTGGCCAAAATTATGTTTTATGATTTTTTTGCTTTTTTGCTTGTAATATTAATTATTAATTAGAGGAGAGGTTGCTAATATGGAACCCCATTTTGTTTTTCCTACACAATATTTTTTCCTCTACTCTGAAACCCTTTCCACCGATCAAATAGGGCCATTCTGTGCAAAATCAAGCAATTGGATGAGGATGCTAGAACAAGAAAGTAATTTGTATATTATAGACGATATTTGAGCGAGGATGGGTGTTATAGGGTAAAGACTATTTCCTTTAAGAATCTATTTAAATCAATGTTTTTTTGGCAGTGGCAAATATTGGCAAGATTTTTGTACATATTCCAAAGCTGGAGACTTTAAGCATTGAACGGATACTAATTTCCATGCGGAATATTGCCGAATAGTCTTACACCTTATAAAAATGCCTCTGATTTTTTAAATATAAAACATTATAAAGAAATAGAATAGAAGGAAACGTTTCAAAATAAAAATATGGCATAAAACAGGACTTGTCAGCTGGCTCTGTATCCATGATGACAGTTATTATAAACAATTGACAAAAAAAGCACTACAAACAATTCCACTATTTTATAATCTTAGAAATATTCAGAATACACTCAAGATAATTCATACTTTTAACTGAAATATATTATTTATTTGATAGTCAACTTACGACTTAAAAAAGCTAATTAATAAACGCGCTTGCATTTAGTATTTATAGATTTGTATTCAGTTAAGATAAAAAATGAAAATAAAAATATTTCACTTTTGGCCAGGTTTATAGACCAAATACCCCTATGTGCGGCGCCAGCGCGGCGGGAGCGGCATTTGGATATGGTTAGGTTAGGTTAGGTTAGTTAATCAGATAAATTTCCTCTTAATTAACTACTTCCGAACCCTGCTCGCATCTCCGAAAAGCCATATAACAATACACGGCATATACGCAAAGTTACGCATCACGTGTATTGTTATATGGCTTTTTCGGAGATGCGAGATGTGAGCGATATGTGGTCAAGAATAGGTCCCCAGAGACGGCGCTGGTTGCCGGAAAGCAGAAACCTGCCTCCACTATGTTCGTACCCTGAGATCCAGATCCACGCGTATTTTTTTACATTATGTAAAGCTATGTAATAAAACATATGTTTGCATTTATATTTTTTTTTATTTGTTTTTTTTATGTTTGCGTTTACTTACTTATACTATTTATTGTTGCAGGTGCGTCTAAACTTCTGGAACATTTCGAAAACGAAAAGAAAGATTTGGAGGACAGTCTGTGCGATCGCACCAGTTCAAAAGAAAGCACCAGTTCCAAAGAGAACCTACTGGACGAACCGAAGAATATTACAGACGAAGAAAAAGAGAAATTAGCGAAAGTTCCACCTTCGGATAATCTAGGCAGTGAACGGCCATTTTTAGAGACCGTCTATACTGCGTTAGACTGTTCGGAAAATGACTACGCCGTTCTTTTTGCTTTGAGCTTGTTGTACGCGATGGCAAACAACAGAGGTAGGAAATTCATATACGGTAATCGCAAAAAAATTTGCGATGCACGTCATGGATTTAAACCATTATTTTGAAGTTATATTATTTAATTTTTGAAAGAATATTAAAATATGCTGTACTCAGGTTTTCTACGTCTGTTCTTTTATTAACGCAATTTTTGTTTTTTTGGATTTCTATCATCTCTGCAAATAATCTTTTCTTATAATTAGATTGTGTTTGTAAAATAGTGGTATTGTCAAAATCGAAGTTATGGCCTGTCTCTAATTTGTGTTCTACTAATGCGGTAGGATTAGATTTCAAAATAAAGTTTTATGGTCATTTTTATGTTCGTTTAATCTTTGTTTTAAATATCTATGGGTCTGCTCAACATAGCTTTTAAGACATTGAGTACAAGGAATGTTATATATTATGCCGGATTTCAGTTCTTTTTTATTCTTTTGTTTTTGAAAAGAACCGTCTCTTTCTGGTGTAATGACTCCTTGTTGCAATTTTTATTTTTTCCTGTTTTTTTGTAATATGACCCTTAAATGAGTTTTTAGTTTGTTCTAACAGACAGTCGATATAAGGTATTTTACAATAAACTTCTCTATCATTTTGGTTAGTAGATTTTACAGAGATTTTCTTGTTAAAATTTTTTTTAATCATAGATATCGGATAATTATTTTTAATCAACATGGTTTCAATATATTTTAAATTTTTATTATGAAAATTAATTGATGATAGTGATGATTCCCTTAACTTTGTAGTGTCCTGAAGATGCAAATAAATTTTGCGAAAAGTCGACAAATTTAAAACAAAGGACTTCTGTTGGGTTTTTTTCGGTCCTAATCCAATTAAAAAAAACACAGTATATATTATTGAATCGACAACAATAAAATTACATAAGATATATCATTTATTGTATTATCCTTTTAGGCGTGTCATCTGATATAATAGAACAAGTTTTAAAGCCAAAGAAGTCAATTTCATCGAAATCATCGACAAAAGAAGTAAAATACTCTTATAATACGTTTTTAGTTGATAAGCTCCTAGCTATAATCTTATTGGCATGTCAGCCATCCTGTAGGTAAGTCACTTTAAATTTTAATATTAAATTTAGTGTGACTTAAAATAATTTTTTTTCAGAATACGATTAGTGACATTAGAGCTGACGCTAAAAATTCTACTTCAACTTGTGATATGTGACGGAAAAAATATATTATCAGATGCACATCAGCATTCTTTAGAAACAGCTAAATCGCAAAGTATGGCTTTGCTTAGGAATTTTTATAAAAGTGAAGAAATATTTTTAGATATGTTTGAACATGAGTGAGTATTATTTTTTGGAAATTTCATTATTTTGTATAAAATTTACTCATTTTTACTTTAATTTAAATCTTCTAACTCCCCCTAAAAATGATATTAAGCTATCAGTGGGCACTAGATATGACATTCATTTCAAAGTGTAATGTAGCTTTATGGACTAGACTACATCTCAAACATACTTTAATATTCAATTTCATGTTATAGAAAGGATAATTACTTTATAGTTTCAAGCCCTAAACATAGTGAAAATGTATTATACAGGGTGAGTCTTAAATAAGTGCAAATATTTTCAGGGCTGGTAGATCTTGATAAAAGAAACATATTTTCTCTTTACCATTTTTCAAATAAGTCCAAAATAACCTAGTTTGAACCTGAAGTTTGAAAATTAAAAAAAAAAAGATTTTTTATGAAAAAATTTTGAGAGCCACCGGATTTTTTCTGTATTTGCATCCCTTTTATTTCCGTAACCATAGAGTAAAGCCGTAACTATGATAATATGAATATCGGTTTTGAATAAGAAGACTAAGGAAGGAGCATATCAAAAATCTTAGGTACACCGCGATGGGCCTCAAATATGGCCGACTTAAATTCCGGTTTATCAGTGTCGTTCTAATTTTATTTAAAAAATGTAAAACTATGATGTAGGGTAGACGTGGGGTAGACTCAATAATTTGTTGTGTTATTTTACGTTGTGAATAAATGTTGGTAGTTATTAAAATTGTTATAAAAATATATAATTCTAATAAAAATAGATAAGTTATAATAAGTATTTATTAACACAAACATCCGATACGCTACTGAAGCAGGTAAGTCAAATTAACGTATCTAAATTCTTTGACATCTAATCTTTGACAAGTAATAAATAAAAGCTAAAAATGCAAGAAAAATATATAATTTAGTTAATTTAAGTGAATTTCATAAATGATCGGTTTACTACACGTATGTATATTATATAGTCACTTACTAGCGAAAAGTTGTTCCATTATTTCACTCAATTTTTTGCCGAGATCTACCGCACGCTACACAACCAACTATTTTAGAGTCTTTTCGATAAATCGCGATAGTGTCACTGTTAATTTAAGTTCTGCCACAATTTCCATCTAGATTTACTACCTTTATACAACTATCAGTAGTAGAATAAATAATAAATAACATAAAATAAGCTCCGTAAAGACTGACAAATCCACAAAATTTCAAATCAAATTCAAATGTGTCAAATGAATCGTCAAACAGAACTGTCAAGGATTCCCACCCTAGAGAGCATTTATGGTGGCTTTTCCGCCCACCATGCATGAATACATGGATAGCATTATGCTCCTTCCTTAGTCTTCTTATTCAAAGAATATCGGAGATTAAAAATTATACCGTGGGAAAATTTGCGGTGAACAGGCAGTTCTAAAAAGTTTTCGAAAAATATACAGGAAAATTTAAAAGAAAATGCACGATTTTCAACATCTTTTTTTTAGCGAAAAAAACCTCATAGACATATAGGTCGAAATAGCCCAGCCCTGAAAATATTTGCACTTTTTTAAGACTCACCCTGTATAGATTTATTAGAAAAAATTGAAATAATATTTTATTGTTTTTCTAAAGACTGACTCTTTTTTCTAAAGAATCTTAGAATATATCTCCAATTTTTATGTCTATTTTTATTATATTTATCTTTAGGTTATAGGCTTGGTGCATTTCAGTTGATTTCAAAAAATTCCTACCGCAGCGCTGTAAACGGCAGAACTCAGAAATTTTTGCTATGTATCTTACGCTCTCCCGGTTAGAGTTCGTGTTGATCGCATTAAAATAATATTGAAATCGTGGCTTTGTCAAAATATTTAAATATTTTAGTGTTTTGCTAGTGCAGTTATGAAAACTATAAAACACTCAGGTACGAGGTTTGTGTGATGTAACGCTGTTTTGGGTAGTAAAAAATAAGTGAAAAAGAATCCGAACCAGGCGTCGTGTTGTGTTGTGACAATTTCAAATGTTAATAAAATTGGCGAAAAAATGCTAACGCTCAAAGAAGGGCGTAATTAGAGCGTTGTTGGGTGTAATAACATTCAATAACTCAACTTTCCCGGATACTCAACTCTCCCGAAACAACATTTTATAGCATCATAGTTTTTCACACCGATTTGATCAAAAGCAAAAATTGATTCAAGCAGTTCAACGAAACAAGTGAGTAAAAAAAAACAAAGTGCTCGTTACATAATCAAAAAATTAAATAGACAATACTAATGAGAGGTTAAAATATAATTTGCAATATTAATGGTATAATTTTTTTCAACTAGTGATTAAATGTTTTATGACGATCTAAAAAATAGCCCCAATTATGACCTCACTAGCAAAACCTAGTAAAACTATGCTCGCTACCGTAGTTGAACTCATCTAAAAAGTGTTTTTTGCTGGAATAATAAATTATAATATGCATAAATAAAATTAGACCTTCTGAAAATATCAAATAATTATATTTCCTAACGCTTTTAGAATAATTATAAATATAATACATTTTTCGTATACTCGCGTTTAAAACCCATGTATTTGTATATAGCAGTTGTTAACGATATTCTCCGATGGTGGCAGCACCGGCGGAGAATGCACCAAACCTATAAGCGTTAAGTTTTGGGAATAAAAGGACAACATTGTTTTGATGTGGAGGAAATATATTTGTCTCTTTTTCTAGATACTGTGATATGTCAAAAGGGCCGCTCAATGTCGAATGGTTGTGCATGGATAGCGCAATACTTTTACCTCCTACAGGCACGCCAATGACTGGAATAGATTTTGTAAAACGCCTGCCTTGTGGTGAGGTAAGTAATTATTTTTATGAGAAATTAATTTTATCAAAACGATTTCTACTTTGACGGATAAATTTATACAGGGCGTCCCAGAAATAAGTGCAAGTATTTTAAATGGTAGTATAGTTTTTTTCGGAAAAAAAAATTGTTGAAAAATTTATATTTTTCTTCACATATTCGGGAAAATATTGAAAGACTTTTGAGGTGCCGCTTGTTCAGTTTCCGGAAATTTTTTATAGTGCTTTGAGAGAATGCAATGTTGCCATTTCCTACGTTATCTATATTCTCTATGTTATTAAGTTATAAGTTCGCATTTTTAAATTTCTACAAAAAAATTGTTTGTGCTCTATGTGCGTGTATTTGAAGGGAAACTTCTTACTAACAGCTATTAAATTGAAGGATTTGCAGAATATATATTGTTTTATGAATGCTTTTTATAAACTTCAAAAAAATTACAGTTAATATACAACCGTTTACTATTCTAGCTTTATAATTTGATGTTTTTTTTTATTTTTATTAAAAAACGATAATTCTATTACCCGGCCGGATAGCTGTGGCCATTTCAAACCAAAATACTACTACATCTATATCTCTGACTACTTCTAACTGCTACTAACCAACAATTTGTTTTGTGTGGTCTGTTTTTGTTTAAATGTTTTGTTCATTATTCATGTTGGGGATTTATTTTTAAATTAATGTTAATCATTAGACAACCAGTAAACTCATAGAATATGTATTTCTTTTGCATAATCAAAATTGTCACTCTAAATTTTATATAACCAAATTGTCACTCTAAATCGCTGTCTTTTTTAGACAGATGTCACTTGTCTTGTCATTATTCGAATTCTCAAAATGTTGTTAACAAAAGTTTCATCTTAAAATAAAATTTTAAATAATCACAATTGTTTATCTCCAACATTTACCGGAGTAATAATACAGAAATTACAGCTCAACAGTTCAGCTTCAAACAATTCTTTATTTATAGTGATTTATAGTAATTTTATTAAATTATACGAATGTTCTCGTTGATTATTGGTTTGAAATAAATATGACACTGTCCTCCAATGAAAATGCGAGTTACTAACCCCAAATTCTAATCTGAGCTGGCAAATGAGCTAGATGTTTTACCTAGACCATTAAGGTTGGTTCTCACTATACCTTCCGTTTCCATTCCATATCCGTTCCGTATTTTTATTGTATTGACGCTCTACGTAAGCTTCCGTTCCGTATCAGTTCCATACTTTTTATTGTACAATTTATATCATTACATTTTAAAAAATTGTATTTTTTGAAAAAGGTAATACATTTAGTTAAGAGGTGAAAGGATGAATAAATATCAGCAAAATTTTAATAGAGCTGGTACACATATAAGAACTTGACAACGCTGTTTCCGATACGTTTCAGTCCGTCCGCAAAAAAATGTATGGAAGGAAAGGATATGGAACGGAAGGGAAACGGAACGGATAGTTTGCATTGTCCTATTCATTTACATGATATAATATTTTATGTAAACGGAAGGGAAACGGAAGGGAGCTGATATGGAAAGTATAGTGAGAATCAACCTTTATTCGGAAGCTACAAACCTAAATGAAATGATGAAAATATGCATGAAATCAAGGTTGGTACAGTATCAAGTTTACAAGTTAACTTTGAATTAGAAGACTAAGGAAGGAGCATAATGCTATCCATATATTTATGCATGGTGGGCGGAAAAGCCACCATAAAAGCTCTCTAGGGTGGGGATCCTTGACAGTTCTGTTTGACGATTCATTTGACACATTTGAATTTGATTTGAAATTTTGTGGATTTGTCAGTCTTTACGGAGCTGATTTTATGTTATTTATTATTTATTCTACTACTGATAGTTGTATAAAGGTAGTAAATCTAGATGGAAATTGTGGCAGAACTTAAATTAACAGTGACACTATCGCGATTTATCGAAAAAGATTCTAAAATAGTTGGTTGTGTAGCGTGCGGTAGATCTCGGCAAAAATTGAGTGAAATAATGGAACAACTTTTCGCTAGTAAGTGACTATATAATATACATACGTGTAGTAAACCGATCATTTATGAAATTCACTTAAATTAACTAAATTATATATTTTTCTTGCATTTTAGCTTTTATTTATTACTTGTCAAAGAATTTAGATACGTTAATTTGACTTACCTGCTTCAGTAGCGTATCGGATGTTTGTGTTAATAAATACTTATTATAACTTATCTATTTTTATTAGAATTATATATTTTATAACAATTTGAATAACTACCAACATTTATTCACAACGTAACATAAAACAACAAATTATTGAGTCTACCCCACGTCTAACCTACACATAGTTTTACATTTTTTAAATAAAATTAGGACGACACTGATAAACCGGTATTTAAGTCGGCCATATTTGAGGCCCATCGCGGTGTACCTAAGATTTTTGATATGCTCCTTCCTTAGTCTTCTTATTCAAAGATCGGGATAGATTATCCCGAATGCGGTAGCTGTGCCAACACTGCCGCTATCACTTTTCCTCTCGCTTGCCCCGGCGCCGGCGGCTCTCAAAATGTTGCCATTATTTTTTCAAATTTTCAAAGTTAAATAACTCAGTTATTATCAATTTATTTTAAAAATGGTAAAGGGAAAATATTGTCATTGCAAAAGATTTTCCGATGCAATCATATCGATATTAACACTAAAGTCTATAAACCTGACTAAACGAAATTTTGGCAAAAATTTTTAAATTTGTTGTATAATTTAAGATACCGAGCAGCTCTTCATTTTACTTTATAGAGCAAATGATTATAACAGATATTTTATTTAGATTAAAGCTGCAAAAATTAGTTCAAACCGAATTTTATTGTGGCTATGTTGGTCACATTGCCCCGTTTAGCAAGGTGTAAGATGTACAATAAATAAATAAATAACCCATAATATCGGTTAGAATAATCTTCATAATGGACTAGTTTTTGCCAATATGTAATAAATAAAATAAGCTATAAAACAAATAAATCAATTAATTACTAAAATATTAGTTATAAAATTAAAACTTAAACGTAAAAATCTTTAAAAAATGATATCTTAAATGTATTGTTTGTCACTTTTAAATTAAGATTCATCTCATAAATCCGTCACAATCTGGCAGCGCTGTCGCCATCGCTTGTCACTCAAAGTTGATCACGTGCATCGGAAATTATTTTGCGATTACCATGTGTTTCTTTTGATCAAATCTACCACCCCTTTAAATACTTGTACTTATTTCTGGTTAGGTTTACACCCTATATATTTGTATCATTATATTGTAATACATATTTACATTTTTCTAGAGCGAGAAGGCAAGAAGAGCAATACGGTTGTTCTTTCTGATGCGCAACAGTTTGCTAACACTCAGCGGCGAAGTAGAGAACCAACTACCACTAACGAATCCCCAGAGCTGCGTGCAGATAGACCATGCCCTGGATCTGAGTATAGCTCGTTGTGTGTCATCAGCCAAGTGAATTAAGCAATCGCTAGTTTTCAGTTTGGCTTGATTTGATTTAGTTGAGCAATTTTAAACACTTTTTGTTTCTGAAATTTACTGTATCGTATGTTTTAATAAATTAAAAATAGTTTTGATTTTAAGTGTTTGTTTTTGCTCTACTTTCTTCTTATTTTTCTTTGCTTTGTAAATTGTGGTGTGCTTTGTGTTAATAGATTTTGTAGTATGTAGTTCTTGATATATTTTGCTAATTTAGCTTAAATATTATTTACTGATAACAATGTTTACACTGATGAACACTTTTGTGTGAATGTGTTATGTGACTGTGTGGGGGTGCGTCTTAAAAGTGGCTGACCACTATAACTTTTTTATTTTTTCAGATAAAAAAACGAGATTTGGTATGTTAGTATATGACATAAATTAGGATTAATTAACGTATTCAATTGTTTTTGGTCACTTTCTGTTTCACCGGAAATGACTACAACTTTTGATTTTTAAATGGCGCCCTCGGTATATTTCTACTTTATTGGACAGAAAATGACACTCTGAATAGAATGACGTATCATATGTCAACTTTTGACATTTTTGCATATTTATGGTTTATTTTAAATTGTAAAATGCGGTTCTTAACGACAATTTGACTCGAAATACCAAGTGTGTGGTACCAAATTATTTGTAAAAAATGTATTTTCTTCTAAATATGCTAATGAGCGACCCTTGTTCCGTTTGAAAAAATTGAGATATGATTAAAATTATGATTTGGGTATCTTTTAACCGGCCAGGACAACACACGAAAGACATTAGACGATCAAATCTATTTTTCCAAGGCTCCTTGATTAAAAATTACTGTTTTTAACACAGCCATGGCACTCCAGATTGAAATTTAAAATACGATTTTTTTTAAACCGAAAATGTCAAAAGTTGACATATGATATGTCATTCTACTCAGAGTGTTATTATTAAGAAGATTTTTGAAATTTAAACTCTTTGTCTATGATTTGGTTGTTTTTTTTCATGATTTAATTGAAAGTTGTCACATAACAAAAGTGAAAATGATTTTATTCCTTACTGGGTAAGCCTGAAAAAATTCCACAGAAACTTTTCTTCAATAACTCAATATTACATTTTTTGCAAACTTTTTAGAGCACTTTGTATAACTGAAACTAAAAATTGTTGCGAACTTTTTTGGCGGTTTCTGGAGGTACATACATTTGTAAGAACATTGATTGTTATAAAAAAAATCTGGTATAAATTGATGGTATTAAAAAGTATAAAAATTAAAAAAAAATAAACATTTGATAACTGTAATAAAAAATATTGTTTTAAACTAACTGGCCGATACTGTTTAGGTACTGAATGTTTTAGAAATAACTCAATAACTTTTGATCTCTAATCTTCGCTAAAGCTTGTTTTTATTGTGCACTAATGATTGCTTCATTCACTGGTATTTCAAATGAACCATGCCGCTCATAAAACTAAATTTTTCGTTTCAGATAACTCCGATCTTATCGCGTGTACCGTACTGTATAAAGATGGAACGAAGATGCGACGGTTTTTGGTGATAGATATTATGCAGCTAATCCTGGTAGAGCCTGATAGTAAAAGGTAAAATGTTTCTTTAATATTGTAACTTTTCTTTAAAAAACATGTAACATGTTTCTAGGTTGCCTGTTTTTTAGTTTTGTCAGAGGTTTACTGTTTTGACCAGCTGATGTAAATCAGTTAATATCAGCTGTTTAAATGTATGTCAAACGTTGACTATTTTCATATCTAATAGAGGGCGCTGATTCAAAAAATTCGATAAGAAGGTGAAAAAATATTTGATTTATTCAGTATATGTTCAGTATCATTCAACTGATCGATGGCAGAAGAGTATGCCTCTTAGTGATTATCAGTTCTTTCATTATAATTTCGGTATTATTAAGAGTCCATTTCACTAGTCCGAAAAAAAAGCAAAATAGGCGTTCGGCATTTAACGTCTTATGTAAAACTGGCTACGTATTTTTACACAAATGAAGAAGGAAATTAAAGATATAGGATTATATTCCGTATTGTAGCACATTTTTACACTTCTTTATTTTTAAGATTTTGATGGTCGAACATCAACAAAATATTCCTTATGTTTGGACTAAATTTTCTCGAAAATAAAGATATAATTTAAAATTCCGTTACAATACGGAAACAATTGAAGTTTTGTGATTACAATGATATATAATTTATATGGTTTTGTAACAAATTGCTCGCTGTTTTATGGCAAATGCTGAAGCTCTGTAAAATTTAATCAAGCCTTAATCAAAGCACGTGTATTTAGAATTTTGGGTGTGGCTTAACACGACAGGATCGGCCTAAGCCTTAGGCAGATTTCTGAAATATAATATATATTTCCTTCGGCCACACACCCGCTTTACCCGGACCCTGAGAGCACGAGCGCCCCGAAAGTACAGCGTAATAGACTCTTAAAGTGTATTTTATGATCTGTGTCTCATGAGTACAATACCTTGAATTTTAGCAAAAATCGTATTTAATTGTATTACATTTAGGTTAGGATGGGGTGTCGCCAAACTAGTCGGGTTTCTGCAAGACATAGAAGTTACAGGAGACAAAGACGATTCAAGATGTTTACACATTACAATTCACAGACCAATATCGGGAGCTACAACAAATAGAGTTCCTTTGCTAAGCGCAAAGTTCTTGTTTGATGATAACATCAGGTGTATGGCAGCTAAGCAAAGACTAACAAAGGTAGGTATTAAAGCATCATATTGGTAAAATTGTTATTAATTGTGTATTTTCTTAATCAGGGTCGTATCAAGGCTCGTCAAAAGAAAATGCAACACATCGCTCGTCTCTTGGAAATACCGGGACAGTCAGGACCGCCAAGTCCAGCGTTTACCGGCCAAGGATTGTATGGATCCAGGATAACTGGTAGGTCCTTGAGGGAGAACAGGCCCTTGTTTGGTCCCTCCAGAGTTCCTGGATTTGCCGCTCCTAAAAGAGAGAGTTCGCCAGGGGTCATTCATAAAGCTGACGAATTTCGAAGACACAGAGATAGTAAGTGATAGCCATAGACTAATGTCATGTACTAGAAAAAGTTGGGACACTGATATAAAACAAATAAATCTGTCATTTTGAGCCACCTGGTGATCCGGAAGAAACTAATCAATATAAGACGATAACTGAAAAACCGCTAAACCGATTTTAACCAAATTTGGCACAAAAATACTGTGGCACCCGAGAATCTGGCCGTTAGTTTTTGGTGGGGGTGGGAGGTTGGTAAGGGGGTATGGGAGGGGGTTAAAAATTTTAAAAAATCGTAACTCCAAAATTACAATAGCTAGCGAAACGCGGTTTTCAATTTAAGATTAGGGAAAAGATTAGGAATAATATTTGCAACAAAATTTGTAATAGCATCAAAATCAGTCAAAGTCGCAGTTTTTTGGAAAAATTCCTTTACTTTGAAACTAAAAAAACTGCCTACCAACTTTTTATTAATATATTTTAGTATGGGCGCCTATACGTGCCTCCCGGCGCCAATTTTTTCATTTGGTTTATAAATTATTATTTCTAAAATATGTTTATTAAAAGAGTTATCACACGCTATCTATCACGAAAATGATGATCTACTGTAAATATCAAAATGCACAAACTAATAAAAACAGAAACTATAAACACAAATCGCCGAACTTTCCGACAAATCAGGAATATTTGTGTTAAAAATTATTTAAATAATGATATAAAAATAACATTTTGTAAAGTAGACCATAGACGGCAGTTCACATAGAAGCTATCATGTCATCTTCGTATATAAATTAGAAACCTGTACTTTAATGTCTTTTGCGCCGTCTAGCGATGTCGAAGAAACTAAATTTATAGTTCTATAAAAATACTATTGAGCGTCTAGTGTGATAGCTTGTACATAACAGTATACAGTTAAACAATATAAACTCATTCAGCTTCTACAGTGTCACTGATAATGTTGAGATGGAATGTGAATTATATAATAAGGAACAATAATAATACACACTCTTTAATAAAAGTCTCTAATTAAAATAATAAAGTAATGTGATAAACAAAACTAAAATTATGTAGATGTCACCCCTAACAACTAACAAATCGTTTGTTCTAGGATCTCAGGCAGAGAGAATACGGTTGAAAATAACGAAAAAAATTCATCTGCTTAGCTGAATATTAGCATCATCATCATCATCATTTTCAGCTTATTCAACCATTTCCAATTAGGCTGTAGCCTCCCTCACATTTAGATACTCTCTTTGTAGTTGGGCCCATTGTTGGCTATGCGGGCCCAAGTTGTGCCTGCTAATTTCCTAATATCATGGTCCCCTCTCAGGGTTGGTCTTCCTCTAGGTTTCATGATTCCTCGTGGGTACCATGCTGTAATTTTTGTGGTCCATCTTTTGTCAGTCCTTCTTGCCAGGTGACAACTATTATACCTGTCTTTTGTCGTATCCACTATATTCTTTTACGGTCTCTCTTGGTTATTCCCAGCATATTCGTTCCATTGAGCATTGTGTGACCTGCAGTTTCATTATGATGTCCGTTTTAAATGTCCAGGTTTCGCATACATAGGTCATGACTGGTAGTACACATGGGTCGAATGTTTTCTTTTTAATAGCATTCTAGATAAATATGATTGAGTATATGAAACGTCTTTTCTTTCCATTAGTTCATTGTACATTAGTTTAGTTTTTGCTAAATTCATTTTGAGACCCACTTTATTGCTGGCTGTATTTAGTTCATTAATTTGTACTTGTAGTTCTTTGGGACTATTGGCAATTAGGACTATGTCCTCAGCGAATCGCAGATGATTAAGATATTCTCCATCTAATTTTAATCCTTTGTTGGTCCAGTCCAGTTGACGGAAGATTTCTTCTTGTGTTGCTGTAAACAGCTTTGGGGATATCGCGCCTCCCTGTCGTACTCCTTTTCCACTGAGGAAAGGACACTAGCAACCTCAACACACAATAGCAACCTCCTCCACTTTTTATAGTATTTAACTTCACCTTTAAATAATGGTGATAAAAGTGAACAAAATTCTATTTTTTTTCTATAATTTATATATATAGCGGACAAGAACTGGTGATATTAGCTTTAATCGTTCCATCGCACTAATCTTCACCTCAATAGCCGCAGATTTGACACTAGTATAATACATTTCCTTCCATTTTTAGGTGACAGTCCTACCCGCATATCTAAAAAAGACTCTACGAATCCCTGCCAGTCTACACTTTCAACCAAGAAGGAAAGCAGATCCCGCGACGGTTCCTCGAGCAGGACAAGATCAAGAGAAGGTTCTCCCAGAATGCCACGACCCAGATCAGAAGAAATCCCCATGGAACTGATGAAAAAAGTCCCAAATTCTGAAATTACACCTAAAATTAACATTTTGCCTAGACCTCAGACACCTAGGGTAGAACCTGAACCAACTGCTGCTAACTTTACGCCACCCAAGCTAGAAAATGGTCTGGTGCCTGTGATATCAGAGGAGACTTCTTTCATAGGAGAACAAAAAAGCGAAAAAGACATAGAGGGTTTGGACAATGTTTAGATAGGGGTGAATAAATTTTGTACAATATAAATTGTAAATAGGTAATTATTAACCGCTGATGGGCGCTTGTAATTGTTCGAATTTTTATAGAAATAACAAAAAATATTTAAATAAAACGGAATATAAAAGATATGTTGTTTTATTTTTCAGACAATGTCTTGAATGTTATTTTGTCTTATTTAAATGACGAATGTCTAAATAGGAGAATTATTCAGCTTTTCATTTTTCTTAAGCTAATCCACAGAAGATTAGCAGATGTTTTGCAATATTATGTTTAAGCTATTATTTCGACCCAAAAAAATACAGTTAGAAAATAAAAAATGAAAATGAATGAGACAACTAAAAGAATACAACTTCGGGTACTACAACTTCGAGGTACGAGCAGTAGTATCTCGGAAAACGTAATAGCACAGAATATCTAGCTACGAATGTGTAGCTAGATATTCTGTGGTAATAGATACGAAGATAGTTAAATTGGGGCAAAGTTGCTCCTTGGGATGTTCACCAAGATACCATCAATAAAGTATTAAAATTTTAAAGAATTACTTAGACCGGATTTTTTTGAAAATTAAATTTAATTTTTCTTGTTGTTACCTTTTAGAAAAAATCAATCGAGCCAATTGAAAGATTCAAATAAATAATATCCAGGTCAGCAAATTAAAGATATTTTTAACGTTTTTTATTGTGAATTTGAAATCTCAGTGTACGATCTAAATGCGCATTCTCACGACCCGCGTACTTGACAAACATTTATTTTGCAATTGGTATACACTTATACAGGGTTTACACGGTGCGTCGTCGGGCATCTGTACAGAATTTCTAAGTTATTTATTAGGTATAGGAACTACGCCGCACTCCCGCCAGATCCTGTAGGCCAATAAAAAATACTTGCCAAGTACACGAGTCGTGAGAACGCGCCATAATAATATGCATAATATTAATCGTAGTTATTATAAATAAATCAACTTATACAAACTAGTTTCTAATGCTCTACATGTTCGAAAGGGTTACCACCCTCCCTAATGCACAAATTTATGTTTTGTTCAATCTTATTTATAGCTCTTTGAACATAACTTCCTCTTATACTTCCGAATGCATTTTGTACTCTTTATTGTAAATGTTGAAATGTATTTTGATTTCACTTTTACAAACGACGCCATATGTAATGTCCCCTTAGTCATTGCATTTGATTTTCCATATTCAATGTTTTACCTCACGTCACTGTTAAGTTTGGAAGCTTATTAATATTGTAATGATGAATAGATTAAAGGAAAAAATGAAATTGATTTTCAAAAAAATCCGTTTTTCCCAAAAAACTCAGCAAACCTTGAAATTTTTAACTTTTTTGATGGCATCTTAGTGAATACCCCAAGGCGCAACTTTGCCCCAATTTAACCATCTTCGTACAGTACGTCTGTCCGTTCTGTAGCTACGGGGTATCCGTGAGAGGTGAAACGATATTCTCTCGATGTTTTTCGTAAAAAAAATAGACGACGCGTCTCATCAATAAAAATTCGACAAATTTGCAAGTAGCCAATAAAATGAGTGGGCGGAGCGATTTGCGATGACGCACTCATCAAATCGACGTATAAAATATATTGCTGTTTATTTAAATGTTTTTTGACCGCATTCCTTTCATAGACACAGATTCAGCAGAAGTACTGTATCTATTACGGTTTCTGAGATACCAATGCTCGTACCTCGAATTTGTAGCACCCTGTATACGAAGCACATTATTATATATTTAATGGCGCATTCTCACGATTCGTGTACTTGACAAACATTTGTAATTGGTAGACAGGGTATACATAATGCATCGAGAATCAAAAGATGCCTAGAGAAGCTCAACAAATTAGGCAAAGAAAATAAAGTCCTCCTACTCTGGGTGCCTGCTCACCAAGGGATAGCAGGCAATGAAAAAACAAATGATCTAGCTAGGAAAGGAGCGAACACTCCACTAACTGGACCAGAACCGTTCTGTTTTCCAAACGGGAACCAACTAAAAGCGGAACTGAAGAATCTGGAAGACTCCATCCGTAACTTGGAATGGGTGTCCTCTAACGGTCTAAGACATTCCGAGAAAACGACCGAGAAAAATCAAAGGTTTTCCTTGATTTAAGTAACAACAATCTTCGGATTGTCACGGAGTTTCTAACAGGACACTGTCTACTCAACGAGCACCTCAGTAGGCTGAAGCTGAGAAACAACGGCGAATGCAGATTCTGTGGGGAAAATGGGGAAACACCAGAACACCTTATCACTGAGTGCGCCGAGACGACGACCTTTCGTGCCATGAATTTTGGTACGTCTGATGTATGCCAATAAAAAATACTTGCCAAGTAGACGAGTCGTGAGAATGCGCCTTTATTGGAACTACGCCCAGGGCCGGATCTACCTAAGGGCTGTTTGGGCTGCAGTCAGGGGCTGAGGTTACAAGGGGGCCCCAGACCCACAAAAACAACAGACCCATAGGGGAACTGTTGAATCGTGAAATAAAATTAAAATTCACGTTAAAAAGTTTAAGCCAGACCAGCTGGTCTTGCTACTATGATGCTGTCAAAGCCTTAAAAATTAATTATGATTACATTATGAAAATTTTCGCAAGTTTCAGCGAAAATGAGGTTGAGAAAGTTGATTTCCGGAAAGAGGCACGAAATTTATTCAATAAAATGGCGAAACTCGAGACTGCAATTTTGATTATCTTTTGGGAAGAAGTTTTGGAGAGACTTCATTTAGTTAATAAAAAAATACAGAGCCCTGGTTTAGACATTTGTGAAGGCAACAAGTTAATTGTTTCTTTAAAAGACTTTGTGAGCAACATACGACATCAATCAGATCAAATGTTACAGGAATACGACGAAAAAGCTAAAAAATTAAGTACTAGTGTGGGGATAGACTACAATGACGTAAACAAGAGACGCATTATTCCAAAATTTTCAGATAAGTCTACAGGTGAATTCTCAGTATATGGCGCAGAAAGAAGAAAGATTTAAAAGAGACGCGTTAAACGTTACGTTGGATAAGCTGATTATGGATTTAAATAAAAGGAGCCAAGTCTATGAGACAAATATAGCAAAAAATTCAAATTTTTCATGGATTTGCAAGACAAAAATATCGAAAACATAGATTTGGAAATTGCACGTCATATTATTGATTACTATCCGGATGACGTAGACGAGCATTTAGTGAATGAGTGCATTCAATTAAAATCGTACTGACTCCAATCTAAGCCAGAGTCTTACACCTCTTGCAGTGACATTTTTATGCTCATGTATGAAAATAAACTTATTGACGTGTTCCCTCACTGCTATACCATTTTAAAGATTTTTTTATCATTGCCAATCACTAGCTGTGAAGCAAAACGCTCCTTCTCCAAGATGTCCTATGTAGAAAATAAATATAGGACAACAATGTCGAACCATCGACTAAATAATTTATCACTTCTTTCCATAAACTGTGATCTAACAAAAGACTTGCAATGTGATGGCCAAATAACTGTCAATTTCTGTGACTGCAACCTATCAATTTCTTTTACTAATTAATAATAAATAAATAAAATTGTTTTATTGTTTTTTTTTGTATTCTTATATAATATCACTATTTCGATTTCTCTCTCACCCAAAGGTTGCCTGGAAGAGATTGCTACCACAGCAATAAGTCGCCTTTTGTACAACTAATACTTGCGTAGATTTAAGTAACATTTATGTTTTTTTTTGTAATAGAGACTGTATGATGAGTTATTACTCGTTATAACTCATCAAGTCCCCTCCTAAACATTCTACATTCTCCATTATGGCGCGTTCTCACGACTAGTGTATTTGACAAACATTTGTAATTGGTATACAGGGTATACATGGTGCGTCGAGCACTAGACAGAATTTCTGAGTTATTTATTATAGCAACTACGCCGCATTCCCGCTAGACCCTATATACCAATAAAAAATACTTGCCAAGTAGACGACGCGACGTCGTGAGAATGCGCCTTGAGAATGCGCCTTAAGAACGAAATATTGTCTATTCATAAAAAATCACTTCAATCAAAGTTCATATCCTGTGTTTTATCTATATAGTTCGGGCTTCAGACGATGTCTGCCGACAACGTCACACGTCAGCTGTTAGGCCTTTGTAGTAAAAAGTGTTGAACTTTGAAACAATGTGTGAATGTTTTGTGCATGTATCTCTAAGTGCAATTTTTTGATTAAGAAAATTTGGATTCCAGTTATCAATCAAGAGCAACAAAGAAATTTGTCTTCATCAACTTTTTTATAAAAAAAAGAAAACATATTTTGATAATTACATCCGTAGGTCGCATAGGCGCATTCACAAAAACACAAACGGTAGTGATTTTAATAAAGAAAATTTTGAACTGAGAAAATAAATAATATTTACACACATTTTGCACTAATTTTACAGAACAATTTGCACAGCTTCAACATTAGTGTTAAGCAACAAACAAATTTGAGCCACTGTTCTATTCACACAGCCTATTCATAACCAACTTATCTACTTACGATCATTTAATGGAAATCTGCGTACCTATACCAGATATTTTTTTATATTATTGTAAACATCTTGTAGGTATAATGGCGCATCTAGAGATTGAATCTGGGAAGGGTAGGGACAGTGTTTAAATAAAATACTAGATTTAAATTTAAAAATAAATAATGCTGAAAGATATTGCTTGGGGGAGGGAAAGCATTATACTCCCTTTACCCCTTCTAAAATTGCATCCCTGAGTAGGTACGCAAATGTTCATGTTACGATTTTGTGATGTATTTTGATGACCTGCTGCACAGTGCTTCGTCCCATGGACAAAAATAAAAAAATAAGTTAAAATTTACTAATATCTGAATATATAATTTTATACTTATAGCAATGTTCAACCATCCTGTATTATTTTTCATAAACAGCGTTTTTGTTAGCAAATATTTTCACTAAAAATAAATTTTGCGATCATTATCTCATCAGTGAAAAGAATAACATTCATAGTAGTTCTGTATTATTATGGAGTTAAACGGGTACGTACTTAATTGAAAGCCACTATGGATATTGTTAAACAAGGTATGTACTTTAAATTTATTTCTAAACAAGTTCGTGATTGTTTAGTTTTTATTTATTTTTTAAGATGATTCTTAAATGGGTATAAAAATTTTACGTTTTCAAACTTCAAAAAGGCATTTAAAAAAACATATCAAGACATATCGTATTTATTGAATATTTTTGTTGCCATATGCATAGCCACTTTTAATTTTTGTATAGTTCACCTGCGTCTGCTTGCGACGAACTTTATTTTATAATACTTTTCCAGATGGAGTAAAATTGATAAGCAATGCCGATCTGGCTAATACTTGGCTTGATCATAAGGACAAGAACTCAAAATTATTTGTATTTCAAAAAATATGTTCTTATTAGATTTGGATGAACTGATGAACCTTCCAGGCAAATGAGACACCACTTGTGCCTGAAAAAGTCCACTATGTTGGAGCGAAACGTCGCATAAAAAAAGTGTCCATCTTTCAATTTATTAATATAATAAAATAATATATGGATATGGTTTATTAAAGAGGTAACTATTAACATCCGAACACCTCATACCGACAAAATGAACAGTAACAACGCGAAAAAGTAACATATTAGAAAATGATGTACAGAAATATCTTATATGTGAGGATACTTCATCTACCTGTGATTTGGATACTATAAATTTGGAAGATTCTGTCAGCAGTGATTCTCCTGAATCAGAGTAGTTACGATCTATGCATTTTGTTGTCCTAAAGTAAATTTATAGTATCTTAAGTTTTTTTTTAATTAAATATAACATTAATGTTTCTTTTTCATTAAAGGATAACATTTTTATCTTATATTAGGCTTATATTGTAGGAATCATGTTCTAATGTTATTTCAATTCTTTTTTATCACAGGAATTTATTTAATACTTACACCGTTTTCATACTATAACTTAATATGTGCTTAGATGGAACACAGCTCCAACATTATTATTATTTATAAGATTTTTTTTCATAAACGTGGGACTAAGAACATCATCATTTAGTACAATGAGAGTACTCATCATTTGTGTCAAATAAACCTAGTTTGAATAAATTGCTTACAATAAAAGAGAAGTTTTGGATTTTTGTCCTCTAGAGCCATATGTTCGAAGCACTGTGCGCTGGTAGGTACTAAACAAGCTGTGCCACCTATTATCGGCAGATAACAAACCTAGACAAAATAAAAATCTAAACAATCAAAATTCATCACGAAATTGATTGATTTATGACTAATATCCACCATCCCTGCCCGTGATTCTTACGTTTCATGGAAATTACTATGAAAACGTCATCGATTCAGACGTCCGGCGCTGGGAGCTCGGCAATTTCAAATTTCAGTTTGCCTTCGACTTGTAGAGATAATACGTACGTCAGTCGCGACAAGAATTCTCGAAAATGATCGTATAGCCTTGTAGTGCGTCTGGTATTTCTTGTTTTACGCGGTCACAACATTGGATTTTCACTTCGATGTCATGGAATCTAAGTGCGCGTTATTAGTTTATTTACTTGGTTTAGGATGTATTTCACATGGTATGTAGATTTCATTTAAATAATGTTGATGGCATAAATATCGTATTCAACAGGTAGTTTAAATTTTATCTCAGAATTTTGTATATAAATATTTTAAAATTAGTTAAATAGAAAGTTTCTGTAATTACTTAAGCTAAGTTTGAGCGCAATTTTATTATAGTTGTCTAAAAATCAGAATATTATATAGATTTTATTTATATATTTTTGAAGAAATTACGCGTCAATCCCTAAAGATATTTTTTGAGAATATTGCGCTCTAATTTTACAAATATTTTATATTTGTAACTGATCAAAATAGTTATTTTTTACTCTATGGTTCGAAGTATCAATATAAACGTGTTAATTTAATATTGTAAATTTACGTTTAACAAAACTAATGATATTTTGATATTAATCGAATAAAAACATATTCAATAATATTGACTTTCATTGATAATACAGTAGACTATTTTTACTAACATATACAATTTAGGGTGCACCAAAAAAATAATATTTTTTTTATTTTAATTACAGTGAAAATACATATATATAATTTCAATATCGTTCCCGATATTGAAAAAAAAATCGGGTAAAGAGTTTGAGCTTTTAAGAGTCCATTTCACTACTCCGAAAAAGTAGCAAAATAAACGTTCGGCATTTAACCAAAGATTTAACATTTTATGTAAAACTGGCTAGGTATTTTTACACAAATGAAGAAGGATATTAAAGATAAAGTATTATACTATATCCGTATTGTAGCACATTTTTAGACAACTTCTTTATTTTAAGATTTTGATGGTCAGACATCAACAAAGTATTCCTTATGTTTGGACTAAATTTTCTCGAAAATAAAGACATAATTTAAAATTCCGTTACAATACGGAAATAGATTGAAGTTTTATGATTACAGAGATACATATAATTTATGAAATATATTTATATTTTTTGAAAAAAAAATATATTTTTTGGTGCACCTTAATACACATTTTATTAATTTTTAAAATTGGTTTTCTTAAATCTGATGTTTTTAACAAACTGGCAATTTTTTGAGTATTTGGAAACAGTAACAATGAGACCATCTTTTTGCTCCTTGCTAATGATGAGCAATTCAAAGATCAAGACTCCTTTGGTCCTGATCTCGGTCTTGGTTTTGCAGTCTAATAAGTACTCTTGATCTTCTTGGTCTCTAGCATATAGTCCAGTCTTGGTCTTGGGTTTCGTTTTGCTGCAAGACTCCTCCAAGTCTTCATACGGAGGTTCTGCATAGAAAATATTTAAATAAATAGTATTTTGAGAATTTAATGTAAACGAAATATAAAAGTAACAATATTTATCTTATGAAAATTTTTATTTTTCATTTTGCTATATTGAACAATTATTGTTTGGCATTACTTCCTTTAAAACTTTATTGTTAACTTCAAAAACAATATTATACAGGTCGTCACTGAATAAAAACGATTTTTTATACTCCGACAATAGTGCGTCGGGCATCTGTAGCTCATAGAATAAAATACTTGAGAATTTTGTTTTAGTTATTACCTAAAGTATGTACCAGGATGTATTTCAGGAAAATATTTTAACTTCTATAGGGTGGCTCAAAAAACTGTGAGTGGACCTGGATGATTTTTTTTTAAATGGAACACCCTGTATATTATTGCATTTTTGGATTCCTTTCAGATCACTTTACATACACCTAAGATATAAATAAATATATTTCGATAGTTTCAGAGATATTAAAAAATAAATCCAAAATATATATTTTTCAGCCCTTCTTAAAAAAATTATTAAAAATACAAGAACTGTTCTGAAATCAAAACTATATTAGGTATTTACTTTAGATGGTCTATTCTTACTTTTATATATCTTAGAGTTATGTAAAGTGATCGGAAAGGAAGCCAAAAATGCAATAATATACAGGGTGTTTCATTTAAAAAAAATCATCCAGGTCCACTCACACTTTTTGAGCCACCCTATAGAAGTTAAAATATTTTCCTGAAATACATCCTGGTACATACTTTAGGTTTGCAATTAAACAAAATTCTCAAGTTTTTTATTCTAGGAGCTACAGATGCCCGACGCACTATTGCCGGACACTGTATACATATTTAAATATATTAATATCCATATCCATATACAATTTCATCAATAGCCATTACAAAGACAATCGATAGTATCCAGTCATGGCGATATCTGTAGATTATTTATTAAAAATTACATGAAAATTTATCAAAAATTATTATGTAAATATCAAAAACTCAATAAAATTATTTTTTGAAAATAGATTTGTGTTTCGAAACTTCACCTAAATTAAATATTAATATTTTACAAATGTATAAAATAAAAAATGACATTGACTGCCAGTTCAAATATTACTAGATACCATTTTTTGGCCATACTCTTGAACAATAATTAAAACACCATTTAGTAATTGTTTCTTAATCAAGTTGGTAATTATACAACTATTCTGTTGGAGAATTTTTGGGAATTAATAATTTTAAATGCCGTTGAATTCTTTCAATTCAGACTTCAGATACGCCTTCAGAATAATGGTAATTCATTTGTTTGAAAAGGAACGTATACTAATAGAAAACATTGACCCATTTGTAAATAAATCACGTAGGAATAAACCAGATTTTATTGATGGCCTATACAGGTGGCCTATACAGGGTATTTCAAAAAACATGTGCCATGCCTCGTGGGGAGATTCCTCACGTAAAACTAATATTTATTTTTCATATCAACATGAGTCCGATTCCGCTTTCTTTCATAGCTACAGGAGGTTAAAATCTTCATTTTTTTTTCGATTTATTAAAATATAAGTGCTTTTAGCGATTCGAATTTTTTATTCTACCACTTTTAGTAATTCGAATGAAATTTGGAGTGTAAAAGTTACTATGAGTATGAGTGTACAGTGTGGTATACAGTAGTGTGTCTGATGGTATGTGTCTGATGGTATACAGAAAAATCAAGTTTTATTAACGGTATAGCCTTCTAAACGAGCTGAACCATAAACTAAATTATTTATAAAACGTTTTGTTTACACTTTTTGCTTTAACTCAATTATACATATTCAGTTGTGAATCATTTTTATTTTAATATTCTGTGGTACATTGTTGAATATCTTCTTGCTAAATTGTTTCTCAGATATACTTTATGTGTACGTTTTAATATTTTAGCACAAAGAAATAAATAATTTGCTTTTGTCTTGCATTGCTCTTTAATTTTTATTTTGTTTTATAGCTCTTAATTGTATCTATTTTTAGTTCAGACTTAAATTTTTGGCAAACATTAATAATAGAGTAAATATCATCATTGTAGTAAATATTTTGTTAGCTGTTACTAGAACTGATAAAGTAGATAACGTACCGGATGACCCAAAAAAGCAGACTGAAGAGAGAATCTACAGAGTTACCAACTGTTCAAAAAGAGAATTTTAGCTGGTATTATTATAACTTAATTTTTTTTTACAAAATATCAGTTTTATAGTTTTTTAAATAATATATTGTTTTATTAGGAGTAAAAATTATACTTTTTGTGACGAGTCACAAAAAGTAATTTTTACTCATTCATACTCAGTAATTTATTATTAAATATTATTACTATTAGTTATTATTACTATTAGTCCAACCTACAGCAATTTCAAATAAAAAAATTGGCGCCAGGAGGCACGTATCCTACAGCCGCCCATACTAAAATATGTTAATAAAAAGTTGGTAGGCAGTTCTTTTAGTTTCAATTATCTCAAAAACTGCGACTTTGACTGATTTTGATATTATTACAAATTTTGTTGCAAATATTATGCTTAATCTTCAATTGAAAACCGCGTTTCGCTAGCTACTGTAATTTTGGAGTTACGGTTTTTTAAAATTTTTAACCCCCTCCCATACCCCCTTACCAACTCAGCACCCCCACCAAAAACTAATGGCCAGATTCTCGGGTGCCACAGTATTTTTGTACCAAATTTGGTTAAAATCGGTTTAGCAGTTTTTGAGTTATCGTTGGTATGGTCGGCTAAAAAAATAATGGTATTTAAGATAATTACAAAAAACCTAATTTCAAAAGTTTTAACATAACTCTAACTCTAAAATTATGAATTTCCATACCCATGTTTACAGGAACTTTTTTCATATTTTTTAATGAGGAATCAATGAGTACTTATTTAAAACTTTCATAAGTCAATGATATTAAATTTTTTAAAGGCTGCTATTAGACTTGGATCTAAGCAAATTAATAATATTGCGTTTATCTCATCAAGGAGGCCGAAAATGACAAAATATCAAGAGACAACTTTTAATCGGCATTAATCTGCTTACACTATTTCGCTAACTGAAAAAGTCAGTTGCGTACCTGCTTTTTTAGAAAAATATTCCTGTTATAATCCATACGCACGTCCCTGGTGAATATGTCGACACTTTTTTAGCTTTAAAATATGTCCCATTTATAGTAACTTTTACCCTCAAAATTTCATTCGAAACACTGAAAGTACTTGGAAGAAATTTATAATAAATCGAAAGAATATTAAGACTTTAACACCCTGTAGCTATGGAACAAAACAGAATTGGACCTATGTTGATATGAAAAATAAATCTTATTTTTACGTGAGGAATCGCCCCACGAAAAATTGCACATGTTTTTTGAAACACCCTGTATAGATAATAATTATTATAGTGCCATTTTAGAAAAAATAGCTTTAATATTTTATAGCTATAAATATGACATTTCTTCTGATATCTAATGATTAGAATATTTATAGACGGTCTCCAAAGTGACCATATGAGTTTATCGCCTGTCAATACAATATCTGCCTGTCCGGCTGAAATAACTTTTATCTCATCTAACACGAGTCCACCCCAAGAGATTAGAACTATATTTTCAGACAGCAGTCAATTCCCTCAAGTCTTCTTGATAAATTAGTACATGAGAGCCACTGGAAATATTTTCGGAGGGGTGCTTCTGCGATCTATGCATATTCAGAGTTTTCAGGATGAAATATACCGGGTGTTGCATCGTCGAGCGGGACA